CGTCGCCTGAACGATGTAGCGCCATCAGCTTCGCTTTTGCTGTTGGCTGAGATGCAACAAATGGGCAGCATCGGATTTACAACCTCCGCATCTTCAGCCAAGCCAGGCATCAGAATCCCTTATATATACAGTACATCCGTCGGTCTTAACGGATTGAGCAGTTTAGCACATCAACAAGCTTCCGCGGAAACCTGAGGTACTACGTCAGCCCAACTGAGTCCAACTGGTCGTTCAGGGCTTCCTTTCAGCACTGAGGATATGAAAGCGCACGGAAGCATCTTCAGAGCGCCGATCCTCCGACGGTCCCCGCGTTTTTCCATTGCCAGTAGCTGCCAATAACGCCGACAGGCTGGGTCTTGGCCACCCCCGAGCAGATGGCCGAGCGGCCGACGGCCGAAATCTTCGCATGGGAGAAGCAAGCGGCTTTGCCGCTGCCCCTCTTTTGAGGACCCCCCACTTATTTTGGAGAAGACATCTACGTATAATTCAGGGCATTTCAGCTCACGAGCTCCATCTGCTTCCTCTCATTTCCTGAACTCCAGAAGTTCACAAAAGTTCAGGATCTCAGAAGTCAGATGCTCAGAGGTCAGAAGGGCGAATCTGGGGAAACCGGCCTTGCTGGACCTCAGGCATCGCCGCACCCTTGGGCTCTGCGTCTCCTTCTTCCCAAAGCCTGCATACAATTTGAGGGTTCGGGGCCTAGACTCAGGATGAAGCCTCAACAAGGCCTCTAGATGCTTCTATAAGGGATCTCTCGGGAGTGGAAGGGTCAAGGAGGGTTTCGGCCTAGCCTAAGCCCTACTTGTCAATTTCTTGTGGCCTCCAACTAACTTCTCTCAATCCTTGGAGTGTTTGCCCCTTCTCCTGGGGAATCTATTCCGGTTAGCTGCTGGGAGCCCGCTTGGGAGCTGAGGCAGCCATCACTCAGTTTAACCAGTGGGAGAAAAGGAACTGTTCGCCAAGCCGCTCGTTGCAAACAAGCGCTGTGAGGATGAAGCCGCCACCAATGCAGTCGGCTAGTGTGAAGACCTCCCCGAGATACAGCATCGCCGCGAGCGCAGCCCAGAGAGGCTCCTGCCATGTCAGCTTAAGTCATGTTATGGCATTGGTACTCACCTGACTTCGCTGACATCATGTGCTGTGCTTTCTGGTGCTTTCTGGTGCGGTCTGCGCTGAGGCGGCAGCAGAAGCCGATATCAGCGAGACCTGAATCGAATCCGCTGCGACCCGTCTCTGCCAAGCAACCCCTCCCCTCTCCCTTCTTCTTCCCACAGCTTCCCGCACTGAAGCACTTTGGAGGGGTCTCTGCCTCGGAGACTTTGATGCTTTGCACGGCCCGGTTGGCCAGCAGCATCGTGATGACATTGCCCAGGAAGGTCGAGAAGAGAAGAGGGGGCCAGAGACCTGGGAAGGCTTTTTGTGGCACTCGCACTGAACTCCAGGGTTTAGCCACTTCAAGGGTCAAGGCCAAGGCGTGCAAAGATGTTGAAACACCCCTGGGCCTGGGAGCACTCTTGATTCAGAGATCAACATCTCCCAAGTCACAAATGCAGGCGTACCCCAACGATCCCCACACCCCCTTGCTCTAATGCGCCCCAAGCCCTCTGAATTCGGACTTGGCACCCGGAGTCTGCAAAATTGCTGGCACCTGACCCAGCCAATCCACTATGCCAGGCGCCCCGTGTTTCCAGCCGATGTCACCAAGGATCCACGTGGCGAAAAGCACCGTAAAACAAACAAACTGGATTGCAAGGGATGGCAAGGTGTCGTCTGGGTACTTCTTCATCGTGTCTCCCAACATGTACCACCCAATTCCTATTGCAACTGGCGCAGCTGAGCAAAGCAAGTCGCCTCGGGTCTGCGCATCTACAAAGAAACAAAATCTGCCACTAGTGCCCTGGCATCTCAAATTTGACCAGCCGCTTTGATGCAGGAGGCAGCTTTTTCAACATAATTCATCTACGACTCCCGTTGATTTTTAGTGAGCCCCCTTGGGAGATATCTGCACAATCGATGCCCCCAAGTTTTTGCAGGGTCACCAGCCGATGTCTCCATCGGGCCTCCGGCAAGCTCAAGGAAGCCCACCCCAACCACTGCCATCACTGCAGAGACGACGGTGCCCACTTGGAGGCGCTGGGCAGCAATGGAGGTGCATGCAGCGACGACAATGGTTTGCAGGGAGCAGATGAAGGCTGCCTTGCCCCCAGTCGTGCCCAAAGTGTAGGCAGTGAAGATGGCGGCATAGGCGAAGCCGTTCAGGCTGCCAACGATGGCCGAAGTCCGCGCACTTTCTGCGGTGCTGGACCGGAGGACCCAGGGCAGGAGCGGCAACGTCGCCAAGCTGAAGCGGAGGGCGCCATAGACGATGGGAGCATCCTCCACCTAGACTCCCCTTAGAACCTTAATAAAAATAGTATTTAAAAATATCCTCTTGGGTTTTATATAAACAAAGATTAGAAAAATGATTCCCAAGGGGGATATAGCCACACCAGCAGCGACGAGCTGATCGATGCCGGCCTTGGTGCTGATGTAGGTGGCACCCCAGCAAGCGGCATTGAAGGCCGTCACAGACTTCCAGAGAGTCTCCTCACTCTCCTCCTCTTCCCAGGTTGCTTCGAAGCCCTTGGCGGGCTCGGAAACTCCCCTTGAACTTTGGCCCGTCAAGGGGCCTACAGTCGGGAAGCCATCAGGCCCAGGCCCAAGCCCAAGCCCACGCCTTGCAGATTCCACAAAGGCAACCGAGTCGTCACGCCACGCGGGGAAAGCTCGAAAAAGGAGACCAAGCGAAGAGGCCAGGAAAATCAGTCTAAGGGGCCTACGAGCTACACCTCTGCGCATCAGCTTGGAGTGCTGTACAGGAGCTTGGACCGCAAAGGCTTTCAGGCAGAGCACAGAAGAGCCCAGGAGATGCACATGTAAACATATTATGCCTGGAATATGCTTCGCCCGCTACTGGGAGATGACGCTTCTCTGCGAAGCCAACTCGAAAATCATCAAGCCGCACCAGCAACGCCATGCGTACGAGTACAGCATGCGGGGGCGGAGCCGAGCGATGGGGCTCAGGAGCTTGTTCCCGGGCGAGGTGGGGACTTCTAGGAGTCTAGGATTTTAAGTCTCCTTTCTAGCACATTCTGGGTGAAGAGAACATGATACCAATATAACCTAACCTTGTTCCAATTTCATCGCGACAACAACATTAATTGCTAATCGAGGGAACTTTCGCCAAGAACTCTGGCGCACTCCAGGTGGTACAACCAGTAACGTACCCAGTATCAGCAAGTCGTGCCTGGGGACCATCAAACAACAATCCGATCGGTTCTAATTTTGGTTGAAGGGCAACCAAACCAACATAACGATGGATCGTATTTCTCAAAGAATATCAATGAATGATATATTTCTTCCTGAATTAATACATTTAGGCGTCTATAATATCATCATCTGAATTGACAAGAACAATTTTCTGAGAAGATCATACATATATATATATATGTATATACGTACGTGATCAATTATCTCTTAATCATCTTATATGTCACAAAAATGGTATATGAAATAAAGAAAGTTGCACCTATAACTAGAATTAATATGTTCTGTCTAGAATTTGGGATCGATTCTACCGATTGATTAGATAGAATAGATTATACGGGTGCAAACGAGATTATGAAAAATGTGCATGTTGAAAAGATGAGTAAGGATATGGAACGATTGGCCTCGCAGCGGAACCACCATCAGCATGCCTCATCCTCAGCATCATCCATTTGTCGCAGGAATGCACCCGAACTGTGCTTTTTCACGCCAATCGCGGCACTTAAGCCTCTTGACAAATTACTGGCCGCTGAACAGGGGGGCTCTCGTGCATCTGTGGCACGAGTTGTGCGAACGTGCAAACGAATTACGCAACCGAGGTGTGGGGTCAGAACCTAGTGGAGAAGGATTCTTAGAATTGACAGCCCTCGGACCAGAGAGTCCCTGACTGTGCTACATCTACACACTTATGAGAAGTAATTTGTACGGAGCAGGCACAAAGCACAAGGAAACATTGTGCGTACCCCCACTGCAAAGAAGCTTGGGGTTTAGGGTTTAGGGTTAGGGTTTAGGGTTTAGGGTTTAGGGTTTAGGGTTTAGGGTTTAGGGTTTAGGGTTTAGGGTTTAGGGTTTAGGGTTTAGGGTTTAGGGTTTAGGGTTTAGGGTTTAGGGTTTAGGGTTTAGGGTGAAAGTCCCTGATTTGAGAGTCAAGGGTCCCAGTTGCGGAACAAGGGTCGCCGGGGGCTCTCGACTCCCTTGTGTGCATGCTGGTCCATGGTTGCCAAGGTGGCATTGCACAAAGTGTTGGCTCCAAGGACAGGACGAATCCGTTTAGGGGGTTTAGGGCCGGGTTTAGGGTTTAGGGCTTAAGGAACCAGATGACTTGAAACATCCGCAAGACTGTGTCGATGCAACCCGTCTCACGGGAAGTTCCCTCCGGCTGAGACTCGTGTAACACATCGAAGCTGAATCTAACCGAGCCATGGTTTGCACCCGTTGGGAACTCTCAAACTTCCCGACCGAAAGCGATGGGGTCTTGTAGCTTTGGTGATGGCCGTGCGCGCCATGAGCAACAAACAACCTAGAAGTAATCGCCAACTTGTACCAATCGTGGTCATGGCAACGAAGCATCTTCTACTGTCAGCTGCGCCCCCCGCTTCTCGAGTTTGCCCTAGTTTTGCCCAACCTTCCCATCTTGGTAGCCCAGTAACCATATTCTAATTTATAAGGGAACCTTGAACTAAAAAAAGGGTAAAGGGTACTACTGGGCTACCAAATCGGCTTCATAGCGCCCTGGGGCTCTCAGCAGCTCTTGCTAACATCGACCTGGACTCGTGACACGACCAAACAAACTGCACGCAAGAGCCGCCGAGCCGTTACTGTAATGGCCTCAAGACGCTCTGAAAAAAACATCCAGTGGGATGGTCGTCGAGTTGTTAATTGGGCGACTTTGGCCCTTGAAGGCACCCTCTGAGTCACTGCAGGTCTTCGGCAGCTTCCAGTAGCAAGAGATGTGGGAGGGCTTGCTTGTCCAAGGCAGCGCTGCGTTCGGGGATCAGCGCTGTGTGGTTGTTGCAAGCTACGACCTCCGAGCTCTCGCCGAACAAGAAGCTTCCAGGCTGGGGCACGATCCAGCCAGAATCTCCTTGCGACTACTATCAAAACACAAGCGGTCATCAGCTTAAGTGGCTTTTTCCCAACTTACGTCACAAAGGTACCATTTGGGTGGTTGTCAAAATTATGATCCCTTTTGGGGTACCCTAAATATTAGGTGCCGTATTATAATAGGGATCCAAAAAGGGATCATAATTTTGACAACCACCCATTTGGAGGAGCCCCAACTTCCAACATCTCCGAGTTTCTTCCCAGGAGCATTCCTTGCAGACAAGTTGTTGGTGCTGGGCATGCTTTGCTGCCCAAGTAGTTGAGTGCTCTTGTGGCGAGCGCACGGCCTGCAGTCCAGAAATGATAGTTCTCAAGGTTTCTCACCTAGCTGAGCACAAAGGTGTGGATCACTCTGCAGGCCACTTAGATGCTGATATACGCTGATGCTGTCTTGTGGCGACCGGCCAAGCTTCCTTCTAATCTTGCGGCATGACTTCGAATTCCGGCAAGCCAGGAGCAGGGCGATGTGGTCTATGATCATAAGGCTTAACCCAAACCCCAAACACCAAACACTAAACCCTAAACCCTATTCCTAGGCGCGACTATGCTTGTGCCTGGAGCTTGGGATGGGTCGCCGATAGCTGCCAGGCGCTTTGTCAAGCCAGCGAAGGACATGGTCTCAAAAGGGATGTACTCGGAGCGCCGGCTCTTGAGCTCCTGCTCCTGCGCAGGGGCAGGGCTCTCTGCAAAATTAGGGTTTAGGGTTTAGGGTTTAGGGTTGCCAAACTTAGTGCGAAACACACCTCTGGATGCATGCACTTCAGTGTACCACATGCTTTTGTTGTGGGGTTTGACAGGCAGATGCGATGAAGAATCAACGACTGAATTCTACATGAAAAGTGGCACAGCAACAGCAAGCAGCTCCCCAATCCCACAAGAATGAGTCCTGGAACATCTTCAGCGCCTGGCGCAAGCACCGGTAGGTGTGGGACAGGGCACGATAAGAGCGATATCATGATGCCGGGGAAAGAAACCATCAAAAGGCGCTGCTCTTAAATTACATCTAGGGATGGTGGCTGGTAAGCTCCAACCCCTGAAGACTTCGGGCCCTCAGATTGTGTGGCCTGGAAGGTGACAATCTGCATCACCAACGGTCGCAACGCCTGGTCGACTGCTAAGACCGCATGGCTGAAGAGCTTCCTTACTTCTCGGACGGCCATGTGGTGCTTTAGGGGTTGTAGGTTTCACGTGCTGCAGACGCGGTCTCAGCTATATAGGGTAGCACCAACAAGGCTATCTTCGAACAAGGGCCAAGTTTCTGAGAGATCGTGCTGAAGCTTGCGCAGTCCTCGGGGGCAACGTCCAGGCCCTGTCCAAGCTCGACTCCCTCGAGCAGGTTGGCCACAATGTTCTCATCCTCATACGTTCAAGGTTATAGCCAATAGCCCGAGAGTGAATTGAGCCAAAAAAGTTGAGAAATAAGGGATCTGTTATGCGTGCGTCTTCTGTGCTCCGAGAAGCAGTATACAAGAGCAACTGCCTTCTAGACACAACAACCGCCGCTCCACTGCTTCCGTTGCAACATGTTGCAACACGACCTCGAATGAACTGAAGCCCTACAATTTACGACGACTGCTGCGGTTGCCAGTGCGCCTATGCTCCTACTCCGTCCTCCAGGGCGATCTGCAGCCGTTCCGCGCTGGTCAGCGTGGCGGCCCAAGCTTCCAACAACGCCTGCGCGATGCAACGCGCGGAAGTCCTGAAAATTCTGAAAAACGAAACAAACTCACGAGTCCACGAGTCCTGAGTCAGAGGGCCATGAAATGCCATGAACGGGGCAGCTTCCCCAAGACTTTACGGGCTCCAGGCGGACCCTACTGGGCCCCAACTCTCGTGTACATTTTCCACCGGCAGCCTAACCTGCTTTACTGCACACTGGAGGCTCCCAGCGGACTTGTTTTGGACTCCTGATGCCGTTCGTGGGAAGCTAATGGGTGAATCGTGTGTCATCGTGTCAGTATGTTCCGGGCCAAGCGAAGGGTCTAGGTGCTTCACCCAAACGCAAACACACACATGCGCGCACACACACAGAGATCACCATAAATGGGCTCATCAGTTACTCCAAGCAGCAATGAAGGGATGGTGCAGTGTACCACACATGTTTCAACCATCAGCTTCCCAGGGTGACATCAAGAGCTTTTGTCGTGATGCTGTCGGAGCAAAAAGTTCGCTTAGCGCCTCCTGAAATGTGCTCTCACAAACAGAAAGTAAGTTAAGCTGCCAACTGATGATAGCTACAGCAGCATGCAGCTGTTATCGAAGTACTTGAATGTTGGACGCCCTAGAACCCGCACTGCGGCTCTCGCTATCTGCCCTTGCAAGTCTGACCTTGTGAGTTTTTTTTTTTGGGCGTGCCCCGGAGTAGACCCTCGGGCGTAAAAGCACATGGTCCGGGACCCCCACAGCGGATAAAGAACTTGAAGAGCACAAATTGGGGTTTAGGGTTTTGAGGGGAAGAGTCCCCCCCCCCCCCCCCCCCCCCCCCACACAGGAAACAAGAAAAAATAGCCCATTCAAAGACCCAACAGCATATCTTGACCACGCAACCACGACCACGACACGCGACGGCACTTCCAAAAACCAACACGCGACGGCACTTCCAACAACCAAGCAACCATGTCGCGAACACTTCCAAGAGCCATGCAGCCACCATGATAGGTCAACTTCCAAGAGCCGGCCCACAGCAACGGTAAGTACGATCCAGTAGGTCATAACGGAAGGTATAGATCCAAGAACCAAGCGAATACGACGTAGGCGCACGCCCAAAAACCAATTGACCACGACGTGTACTCCCAAGAAAGGGACCAGACGATACATGCACTCCCAAGAACTATGCGGCCATGAAGAGGTAAAGTACGTGCGGCCACGAGGAGTAAAGCTTCCAAGAACCAGTCCACCACGGGTAGGTGCTTTCCGGCGAGCTTCATGAGCATCAGCGGCGTCGCCATTTCGGGACAAGGGGCTCCAAATCCCGCCTCGGCAGGAGCAGCATTTTTCTTGCATGATTTTCATGCCCCTTGGAAAGGGTGCCCCCAAGGAGGAGAAGTGGGGGCCCAACGATGCTCACGATGCTGGGGGGAGGGGGCCCAGGGGGGGCTTACAGGGCGAGGAACGGAGGCAATGATGCTCGTCATCCTCTGTCAGAGGAGGCTTGTGAGACTTTTTTCGGGCTAGTGCAGCTTCCTCGCGTGCGCCGTTTGGATGGCCTTGCCGGCGCGCGCCCGCGCCCACGCTGCTGCATGCCTCTGCCTCCTCGGGGCGTTGCCCGCCCCTGGGCGCAGCCCTTTAAAATAAAATGCATGACATTTCTAACTCTAACATTAACGCGCGATGCTGCGCCAGATATACTAATATTATGAAATGCAAAGAGGGCATGACACTGCAAATACCAGTGTTTTGGGGCATGTTCACAAAGACGACGTGAACGTTTGCGACGACGTGTCTATCATTCCGGAAACGTCAAACATCCTTTGCGTTATGTTGCGCAAAGAGGCAAGAACGCTTTTATTTCCGGTTTTTTTCAGACATGCATGCTTGTGACAGCGTGTCTTGCTCCAGAAACGTCAAACAACCTGTTGCGTCACGTTGCGCAAGGCAAAAACGCTGTACGTACTAGTGTTTTGGGGCATGGTCACCGTAGGAACGGACGTTATAGTATTCCCCGCCCCTCAAGAAACCAGAGAAAGGAATCAAAGGAGACGACCAGGCTAAATACAGCGCAAGGAACACTTACCAGTGTTCTGTAAAGTGCACCTACCGTCGCGGTCTTGGAACTGTACCTACCGGTATGAACCACTGGATCTCTGAAGCAAACCTATCGTGGCCTGGTTCTTGGATTTTTGGAACTGTACCTACCGTGCGGCCGCCTTGACATTGGAAGTTTACCTGCTGTCGTGGCCACATGGCTCTTGGAAGTGTACCTGCCGTCCGTCGTGGGCAGCTGGTTCTTCGAGCTGCGTCTACTGTCGTGGTCACTTGTCTTGTGGGGTTGCACCTACCGTCACGGTCGCCTTGCGAGTATAGATACCTGATGTTGCGGTCGGAAGTAAGAGTAAGCGCCGCGCTCACCTAGCTCTTTAGAAGTGTACCTACCACTGCGGTCGCCGTTCTTGGGAGTGTACCTGCAGTCGTCTTGGATTTTTTCCTACGACGTGGCCGCCTGGTTCATATAGTATATGTAGCATCTGATCAGCTGGTTCTTGGAACTTGGTTTTGAAAGTGCTATGATCGATTAGACCATGGAGCGTACCTACCGTCGTGGCGCGCTGGTTCTCAGCGTTCCTCTCAGAAGGGGCATTCAGATTCCGCCCGAACATCACCATCGAACCCATTGAGGAGATTGAGGACGATGAATTACCGGAGGAGTTCGAGGTGGTGATTCCAGATGAGGCTGCGTCTACAGCTGCAGAGACCGATGTGGAGGTGAGACGGCAGAGCCAACAGTTTGATTTGGCGCATATGCCAACGATGGCGTCGTGGAAGACGAGGACGAAGAGGATGTTCCCATAGGACGTGATGTCAACGTCCTGGATGATCTTCCCATCGCACGCAGCTGCGAAGTCAGGGAAACGGTGGCGCGGTACTTTGACGCAACCTTCCTCAAGCGCATTCGGCGATTTTGGGGACTCATTCAAAAGCAGCATCAAATGACCGACCTTGAGAAGTACCAGGCGTACCGCAATCATCACCTTCGACCTGACTGTCACACCAACCCCGTCAGGCTTGGATTTCCCAAGAACGAATTCCTGGCGGGGCCTGGCACCATCGATCCGCGACCATGTACTTATGAAGAATTCGTAGCCCATTGCGAGGGCGACGAGGAGAAAGCTAAGGTCCTGTGGTGGACCTATGAGGGCATTGCCATCGTCAACAAGGCCGTACGCTTCTTTCTTCGCCACGGTGTCGACCAAAAGGCTTTGCGCACATTTGGCGACAACAATGAAACCTTGCACGCGCATGATCGATGGGGAAAGGCGGTAGCACATATGTTTGGCTGCAGCCGTGAGGACTCCATGGTGAAGGACATCGCGAGCTTTCACCGCATCCGGGAAGAATGCGCAATGTATGGCGTTCGGGTCGAGAAGTTATCTCTTGAGGCACCTATTGCGTGCGAATACTACGGCGCCTACATGAACGACGAAATGAAGCAGGTGCTCAAGAAGAAGAGAGAGGGCATGGAGCAGCGATCACAGGAACATCGCACTATTCATATCATGCTCACGGATGATGCTCCTGCTCCAACTACAGGTCGCTCGGCACCTTCGTCTTCGTCGTCAGCAGCCAAGGGCAAGCCAAAGCCCAGACCAAAACAGCGGAAACAGCGGCCACACCAGCAGCAGTGATGCCAGATGTTATCTATTCGCATTGGATCCGGGTGTATTTACAGTGTTACCGTATTCATTTTGAGCAGCATAGGCATATCTGGGTGATTTGCAGTATTTTGGACGTATCTTGTTATCGGATATTGGGTACCTCCCCAGGGGAGGGTCCCTATTTTGGTATTACAATGCAACTGCGATTGGATATGTGGTGATATCATGTGAGGTACCTTTCCAGGGGAGGATCTTCTTGATGTTCATATATTCTTCGCTCTGTGGTAGGTGCCCATGGCATCCCCCACATATATGCAGTTGTGCAGATGCCTCCACGTCTTACCCAGTTCGGCCTGTGCAGCAACTTTGTGACACCCGAGGAACGCAGTGCTGAGGAGTAAACGCAACTTGCAAGCTGTTGTGTTTGTTGTTTACAGTTGCTCTTGTCTGGTGTTGTGCGACTCATGAGGACCGTGTTGGCATGGAAGATGTGTACGTGGCATGGGATCCCGACTTAAAGGGCCAGTAAGTGCCCAAAGGGTGATGCCACTTGTAAAGCGTGCAAGTTGGATCCTTGTCGTTCCGGTCTTGGCTTGCTGCGTGGTTGTTTGTTGCTTGCTGTTGCGTGGGGGGTTGAGGGCCGATGATGACATTATGACCCAGGCGGAGGCCAGCGTACTCGAGGCGCAACAGGAGGAGCAACCGCGATTGGTGCACCCCGCGGATGCCATTGGGCTGGCGGCAGGGGGCTCGGAACAGCCGGGAGGGGGGGGAGCACAGGGCTTCAACCCACCATCCACCCGGCACTGCGGGCACGCCGGATCCTCGAGATCCAACAAGAGGTGGCAGCTGCTTTTGGGGCTGTTGAAGAGTGGAGCGTTGTGTCGGCGGGTTTGGGGCATCGATGCTTGACCCCTGTCGTGCTGCATTGTTCTGGGTTTTGGGTGTTATGTCGACTTGTTCGGGACATCGAGGCTTGACCCCCCTTGGTGCTGCGTTGCTCTGGGTCTTGGGTGTTATGTCAACTGGTTTGGGACATCGAGGCTTAACCCCTTTCGTGCTGTGTTGTTTTGGGGGAATCGGTCCGGTGTTGTGTGGAAGGGTTTGGGACATCGAGTCATCGAGTCTTGACCCCTTTGGTGCTGCATTGCTTCGCGGGTTTGGGTGTTGTGTCGACGGGTTTGGGACATTGAGGCTTGACCCCTTTGGTGCTGTATTGCTCTGGGGGTTTGGGTGTTGTGTCGACAGGTTTAGGACATCGGTGCTTGACCCCCTTGCTGCTGCATTGCTTTGCGGGTTTGGGTGTTGTATCGACAGGTTTGGGACATCGAGGTTTGACCTGCATTGCTTCGCAGGTTTGGGTGTGGTGTCGAAGGGTTTTGGACATCGAGGCTTGACCTCTTTGGTGCTGCACTGCTCTGGGGGTTTGGGCGTTGTGAAGGCTGGTTTGGGACATCGAGGCTTGGCTCCCTTTGGTGCTGCATTGCTTTGGGTGTTGGGTGTCATGTCTGGTTTGGGACATCGAGGCTTGACCCCTTTGGTGCTGCATTGCTCTGGGGGTTTGGGCGTTGTGAAGAGTAGTTTGGGACGTCGAGGCTTGACCCGTTTGGTGCTGCATTGCTCTGGGGGTTTGGGCGTTGTGAAGAGTGGTTTGGGACATCAAGGCTTGAGCATTGCTTTGGGTTTGGGGTGTTGTGTCTGGTTTGGGACATCAAAGCTTGACCCCTTTGGTGCTGCATTGCTTGGGGGTTTGGGCGTTATGTCGACTGGTGTGGGACAGCGAGGCTTAACCCCTTTGGGACTGCTGGGCGTTGTGAAGACTGGTTTGGGACATCGAGGCTTGACCCCGTTGGTGCTGCATTGCTCTGGGGGTTTGGGCGTTGTGAAGAGTGGTTTGGGACCTCGAGGCTTGGCCCCTTTGGTGCTGCATTGCTTTGGGTTTGGGGTGTTGTGTCTGGTTTGGGACATCAAAGCTTGACCCCTTTGGTGCTGCATTGCTCTGGGTTTTGGGTGTTCTGTCGACTGGTTTGGGACATCGAGGCTTGACCTCTTTGGTGCTGCATTGCTCTGGGGGTTGGGGCGTTGTGAAGACTGGTTTGGGACATCGAGGCTTGACGCCTTTGGTGCTGCATTGCTCTGGGGGTTTGGGCGTTGTGAAGAGTGGTTTGGGACATCGAGGCTTGACCCCTTTGGTGCTGCATTGCTTTGGGTTTTGGGTGTCATGTCTGGTTTGGGACATCGAGGCTTGACCCTTTGGTGCTGCATTGCTCTAGGGGTTTGGGCGTTGTGAAGAGTGGTTTGGGACATCGAGGCTTGACCCCTTTGGTGCTGCATTGCTTTGGGTTTGGGGTGTTGTGTCTGGTTTGGGACATCAAAGCTTGACCCCTTTGGTGCTGCATTGCTTGGGGGTTTTGGCGTTATGTCGACTGGTGTGGGACAGCGAGGCTTGACCCCTTTGGTGCTGCTGGGCGTTGTGACGACTGGTTTGGGTCATCGTGGCTTGACCCCTTTAGTGCTGCATTGCTTTGGGGTTTGGGTGTTATGTCGACTGGTTTGGGACATCGAGGCTTGACCCCTTTGGTGCTGCATTGCTCTGGGGGTTTGGGCGTTGTGAAGCATGGTTTGGGACATCGAGGCTTGACCCCTTTGGTGCTGCATTGCTTTGGGTTTTGGGTGTCATGTCTGGTTTGGGACATCGAGGCTTGACCCCTTTGGTGCTGCATTGCTCTAGGGGTTTGGGCGTTGTGAAGAGTGGTTTGGGACATCGAGGCTTGACCCCTTTGGTGCTGCATTGCTCTGGGTTTTGGGTGTTCAGTCGACTGGTTTGGGACATCGAGGCTTGACCCCTTTGGTGCTGCATTGCTCTGGGTTTTGCGGCGTTGTGAAGACTGGTTTGGGATGTCGAGGCTTGACCCCGTTGGTGCTGCATTGCTCTGGGGGTTTGGGCGTTGTGAAGAGTGGTTTGGGACATCGTTGACCCCTTTGGTGCTGGATTGCTTTGGGTTTTGGGTGTTCTGTCGACTGGTTTGGGACATCGAGGCTTGACCCCTTTGGTGCTGCATTGCTCTGGGTTTTGGGTGTTCTGTCGACTGGTTTGGGACATCGAGGCTTGACCCCTTTGGTGCTGCATTGCTTTGGGTTTTGGGTGTCATGTCTGGTTTGGGACATCGAGGCTTGACCCTTTGGTGCTGCATTGCTCTAGGGGTTTGGGCGTTGTGAAGAGCCGTTTGGGACATCGAGGCTTGACCCCTTTGGTGCTGCATTGCTCTGGGTTTTGGGTGTTATGTCGATTGGTTTGGGACATCGAGGCTTGACCCCTTTGGTGCTGCATTGCTTTTGGGTTTGGGCCTCGTGCAAACGGGCTCCAGAACGTCGAGGCTTTACCGCTTGCGTGCTGCATTGAATGAATTTCAAAGGTGCGACTCATGCACCCAACTTGCAAAAACATTTGGTGCATCCAACGCCGCAAGATTTCAATCTCAAGACGACGCAAACATCACTTTCGCAATTCGTTAAAGCACATTCAACACTGACCCATTTGGTGATGTAGCAGCGTGCAGTGCAGCGTCACTTGTGCATTTGCGTGATGAGTCCAACAATGCTTCGGAAGTGCTGGCGGAAAGACGTGGAGAAGCGCGTCAACACAAACTGTGCTTCAAGGGTTTACGATGGCATCTTTACAGGTTTGCATGTTGATAACCTAATGTTGGTGTATTGCTGAGGTGCATGAAGGCTATCCCTGCGAATACTTGGGCTGTCAGCAACAATTCGGGCACAGCCGCGGAGCGCCAAATCGTAACAAGGCATCAGGGGTACTGACGTCCAAAAAGACAAGGTTACAACGTTGACCTGTTGTTGAGCAACGGATTGTCGCTTGTTTCACGGTTGCGCACATGCATGGGACAGTATGTGCTGCTGGGAAATGTCCGTCATTTATATTATACCATTTCCGGCTTTTTGCGGTCCTTCATGTCCCGTCAGTTCCGGAAATTTCCGTCTTTCATATTTCACCATTTCCGATTTTTCCGTCTTTTACGTTCCGTCTTTCATATTCCACCATTTCCGGATTTTCCCGTCCTTCACATCCCATCATTTCCGAAAGTTTCCGTCATTCACATTCCATCATTTCCGGAATTCTCCGTCTTCCTCACGTTTTGGCCTGTCGCAAAGAGTTTGATCCAGGCCTCTTTTCTTTAGAGACTGAAACCCAACAGTATATGCTGTTGGGAATAATTCAAAAATCACTTGCTTTAGCCCCCCTCCCTTACCGCTAACCTTGATAGGCATTGCTAGCGCAAGGGTAAAGGAACTTAATAGTCGTATTTTTTGCGGCCTACGCTGGTACGACCAAAGCAAATCTGTCGCAACAGTTGGACGCCCTACTCCGCAGGATTCCAGGATTTTAGGCTTGAACCCTCAGGAATCAAGGCACTGCGATGGGAATGCAGATAGGCTATCGAAGGAGTCCCGCTTGCTGCTCTGGCAGAAAGAATGCAGT